TGGTTTCTATGTCTTGCTTCAAGGGAGAAAAAGTGGCAGAAGACAGGTAGAGAAGAGAAGGTCAGAGAGACCTTGCTTCTGAAGTCCTTCCAGTCTCCTTCAGTTCAAAGTACCCAACATGACAAAGTACCATATTTGGGTTAGCATGATCTGAGCCTCTGTAACCCTATGAATAGTTTACAAGCAGTGGAACATTTGAAAAAAAGATTAAGGAAAATGAAAATCTGAAGAGTGGACTACACTTTTTATATTAACTTGGTCATTGATGGGCTCTTTGCAGAAACCCTCAACATCATTTGAGTCTTATTGATTCTATATCAAGACGGTTGATAATATCTTAGTATTATAGTGTTATTTCAAGATCACAACATAACCATTAAGCTCATTTATTACATTTTACCTCCCTAGTTCAGTGAGAAAATGATTTCTTGACCTTGAAACTCTAAGAAACAACAACAACAAACAAAAACATTGCCACTTTACACTGTTTCATAGAACACAGAAATCCTGAAAGATGGACCAGAGATTTCTTCCCTGACCAGTCAGAAGTCTTAGGCAGAGAGGAAAATGTCAGGAAAATGAGGCTCCTTTTTACTCAATATCTTAGCAATTTAATGTGAGCTTCTCAAAAAGACGAGGAAAAAACTCAAAGCATTTTAAACTTCTCAAGTATTTACACGGTAATTATCCCATCCAGCTTCCCAGTCACCCTTGGAAATTATCTCCAAGGCTATATGAACTCCATCTCACAGTTAAACAAGGAGATTTTCTGAACTTTCCCTAAAATGGCATACCAGGTAGTTTAGATGTCAGATCCCTTTTATCACAATCCAAAGCAGATTGTCTTTCTAGTCTACCTTTGTGTAAACTCTTGAAAGGCATCGGTAAGTAAAGTGATATAATTTAACATTAATTATCCTAAACGTTCTTACTCATCTGCACCACACTGTCTCCAATCCCTCAATATTTGGAATTAAATCCTGATTCCAAGGCTAAAATCCAATGTCTGGTTTTGCTCTATGAACTCTGAATTCTTCTCTCATCTGCCTCTTCCCCACAAAATACAGGGACCCACAAAGGGAGCAATGGGGATGGGCACAGCTCTCTAAATGAAGCAGTCATTTTTCTCCATGTTGGTCTGATCTGCAGCACTGAATTTCTGACTGGCTCACTCTGTCTGCATTCTGAGGGATTACCAGTCTCTAAAGGCTGCAGGCTTCTTGCCTTCAACTCCTGCCCATAACCTGACACTCTGAGACACTGATAGCCTGTACAGACAGGAGTCTGTATCTTCTGGCACCAGATCCTTCTCCCAGTGGCCTGGAGCTTCCTTCACCTGCATTCTTCCAGACCTGATTCATTGCTTCTCCTTGAAGTTCTACCCGAAGGAGTTTAGAACATGTCACCCCAAAATATGCTGTTTTGGTATACTGATTACTTCAAACTGAAGGCACTTAGAAAACAGCAAATGCCGAACTTCCCTCATCTGCCTAAAGACAGATTCTCCAAAAGGAACTTCATTATTACCATCAATCACCTCCCTGGGAGTTTCATTAACCAAGGAAGATGAACTTTTATCACAGGAGAGGGAGACTAGGAGTTGACACCATGCCCAGATAAATTTTCTCACAAAGTATCATCAATTATCCCAAAGACCACTTCTTCTTTCTCCCAAAATCATTTCCTCTGCTCTAAGTTGCCTACATTCCCCATATGCTCTCCCCTATGAAGAGGGTATATAAGCTCCTAAATCTCACTAGGTTTTTAGGTATTCACTTTTCTTTCCTGTGATGCCGCATAGCTCATAACAAATCTGTAGATCTTTTCTCCTGTTAACCTGCCTGTTGTGAGTTTATTTCATAGAATCACTTATCAAATGCTTTGAAGGTTAAGGGAGAGTCTTTACTCCTTTACATGGTGTTCCTACAATTCAGAGGTTACAAACAAAGGCCTCTAGACTTCAGAAAGATAGTGTAAATGAATGACTCTAACCAGACAGACTAAAGTGCACTGGAGCATGACTGCTGCCCTCCAGGTCTAGAGCAGGAGGAAGCTACTACTGTGAAATCCTTCCAGAATATAAACCCAGGTTATCAGATGTACTAATTTTTAAGAGAAGATAGATATCCTTTTTTAAATGTGAAATTGGTAACTAATTGGTATGGCTTGAAAGTTTGTGTTCCCTCCCAAATTCATATGTTGAAATGTAACCCCCTGTGTGATAATATAAGGAGGTGGGGACTTTGGCAGGTGATCAGGTCACAAGGGTGGAACCCTCATGAATGGAATTTGTGCCCTTATAAAGGAGACTCCAGAAAGCTAGCTCACCCTGCTGCCATGTGAGGACACCATGAGAAGACAGCCATCTATGAGGAAGCAGGTCCACCCCAGACACTGAGTCAGCCAGCACCTTGATCTTGGACTTCTCAGTCTCCAGAACTGGGAGACATAAATACTTGTCATTTATAAGACACAATTTATGGTATTTCTGTATGGTATTTTATAGCATCCCAAAAAGACTAAGACACTAATCAAGTGATATTTCAAAACATTATGTGGACACTTGATACAACCAGGCATTCACCATCATGCTTCAGTTTATGACTTCTACCTCTTATAATTGCTCAGCCCTGCTTATTGGTTATTGTTATTGCTGTAAAGCCAAGTCCTTGGTCTCTGACCCAGGAGTTTCATGACATTTCCTAGTATGCGTAAAACATTGGTAGACTAACATATAAAGTTGCAAATGCAGTAAAATCTCAGATTCTTTATAGTTCTTGACAATCGATACTTTTTTTTTTCTTTAAGTTCTAGCTATGGTAGCTGCTCTAAAATTGACAGTCTAGAATCTTCCCTATGTTTTTCACATTTATCTGAATCAATATGTTTCTCCTTTGCTTTTGAAAGTACAACAATGCCTTATTCTCCATTGAAACAGTCATGAACTTTCATCATTTCAAACACCTAAATCTCTTTATATATCATTGTTTTTATCTATTTTAGGCCTCCATCTTCACCTTCAGACAATAGCTTGGTGCTTACCAATAAAGCAGAATGACTAGTAGGCAGACTGTCAACCTGTGCTGCCTGAGTTTCAAACTGTGTTTTTCCACCTGTTGGTTGTATTACTCTGGACAAATTATTAAATCAATACATGCCTCCATGTTCTTATCTATAATATGGGAATAGTAATAATAATTAATTCTGAGGATTATCTGCAAATTAAATCAGTTTACACATTTAGTGTGTTTAGAATAGTATGTGGTTTATAGCAAGAATGTAATACATGCCACCAATTTTTTTTTTTTTTTGAGACGGAGTTTCACTCATGGTACCCAGGCTAGAGTGCAATGGTGTGATCTCGGCTCACCGCAACTCCGCCTCCTGGGTTCAGGCAATTCTCCTGCCTCAGCCTCCTGAGTAGCTGGGATTACAGGCACGCACCACCATGCCCAGCTAATTTTTTTTGTATTTTTAGTAGAGACAGGGTTTCACCATGTTGACCAGGATGGTCTCGATCTCTTGACCTCGTGATCCACCCGCCTCGGCCTCCCAAAGTGCTGGGATTGCAGGCTTGAGCCACCGCGCCCGGCCGCCAACAATTATTATTCAGTTGAATATTTGTTGAAAAATTCTGTTATGTTCTGACTTTAAATGCAAGTTCTTTATGATTTACAGTCTATCGTTGAGAAGCTGGATGATCATTTAGGGCTACGAATGTGCTTGGTCCTTTTGCAGTTCAGATCCTCAATAGATTAGAAAAACATTTTTTTTTATATAAATTTTGCCTTTTGGAAAAACCACCACCTCATATCCCAGTCTTCTACAAATGACATGAAAAACCAAGCATCAACCCCTCTCCAGTCAAAATGTAAATGTACAACTATACTACCACGTTTAAAACAAAGTGTCAAATATCTCTTCCACAGATGACTGTGTCCACTCAGAATGCTTAAATATTATCGTATACATATAAGAAGTTTTCTTCACAGTCCTACTAAAAAGTCAATCCACCAAATATTATTTGTCTGAAGCAATGTTTCCATTGCTGTTTTCTCTATGTTATGCCATTTCTCTTAATGGCCTAGAATAACATCCCCTGATTTTCTAAGACCTGTCCTTTCCATTTTTCTAAGCCTGTGAAAATTAAAATAAAACTTCCAAAGGAGTAAAGCAAAAGAGAAAGATCTACAAAAATCTGGTTTGATTTTCCTACACTTTTCCTCCCTCCCTATATCCAAGCAGCTAATCTCCTCTCAAACAGCACAATAGAACAGCTAGACATAAAGAAAAGGAGATAAAATTGGCCAGCCAGTACACTGTTCTTGCTAATCTGGACCATTTACATAAGGGTTAGAAAGCTTGTTTTATCATTTAAACAGGCTTAAAAGCCTCTTTGCAAATGAGATTTAGTTCCTACGAAAGAATGAATTCTAGCTATTTGGTGAGTTTCTGCTAGACCAGCACTGGGAACTGACTTGGCAGTAACTACAAGCTACTTCTTTGGCCACATACGATATATGCAGAGATTGCCTCCAGCTGCCAAAACTGAAAAGTGTCAAGCTGATTAAATTCTTTCCAGGAGTTGAACAGGAAGAGGGGCAGGTTAAGAGGTCAATAATATCAGATCTTAAACTGTACCTGGCCAAACTCTTCCTCTATGCAGGTGCTTTAAAAGTGGCTTTGAATGTTCAGAGCCCTTAAAATTTCTTTGAAAGAGAACAGAATGGTGGACAGCAAATGAAATTCAGAGACAGAAGACATAAAATGGTCTCAAGCTGTGAAGTGAAGACAATCTGAAGTCTTTGATTCATTGTTGGTCTGCGTGGCACTGGGCACAGTATAAACTGCATAACTAACTCCCTAGCCAATGTTAGCACAAAAGATCACTGGAAGGAAACGATGTTCTTTACACAGAAGAGTACAGTCTTTGCATCAAAATCTTAGATTTTAAAAATCAAGATCATGTTTATATATACTATACCTATTATGTCTTTTACCTGGCACACCTTGAACAGATGTTCAGTGTGACCTTGGCCTGAGGCTCAGCAGGGTAAGTAGGACGGCCTTGGTTAAATTTGCTCCCAGAAGGTACCAGGGTTGTTACTCCCTCCATTCTTAAATCATTAAGATCCTCTGTAACAACACAAACAATTACAGAGAAAAAAATTAACTCTAGTGGAATTGAGGAGAAAAGTTCATGTTTTCAGGTATCTGCCATTAGTTTGTTAAGCAAAACAATTTAATTCCCCTTTGCAAAAATTTAACTTCATGTATCGATTATTTTTCAAATTATTTCTAGACGTAGTTGGACACAAATTATATGTGAAGATTTACAAGAGACAAAATGGTAAGAGACTGAATATACAGAGAGTGAGCAGAGCACATATGACCACAGACCACTGACTCACAACCTCTGCCATACCCACCGGGGAAACCAAACTACAGCCTCTGCAGCAATCAGCCCCAAGTGGTCAAAACTTGGTCAATGATTGCCCGCTTTCCTATTTTTTGTTGTTGTTGTTTTCAACTCAGAGCCAACCACACAAAACCAAATATGTTTCAAAACCAATTGCATAAATCTTCCGCTTCTAATCAGTTTGCTTTCAGCTTTTCCATCAACAACCTCCAATCAAAATATAACTGAAGTCTTCCCGTTTTTCACTCTCAATGTTCGCTTTCTACCTTCACCTGGGGAGGACAGCAGTAAGCCTGAATAGTCACGCCCCAAAGGTTTGCTAAAGCCCACTTCTGTTTTTCCCAGGTCCTCAATCAAGAATGAAAAGACCTAAATTTTCCCTTGAGATTCAGTTCTGAAGCAATATGTAAATGATTTCCTACTTCATTCAGAGAACAAGGAAGCTTGTAAAAAGGATTCCAATTACTCTCGGCTTTCACACAAAAGAGATATAAAGTTTCAAAAGATAAATCATAATTTTTCCAAGACTCTAATTCATTATTGAAGGCATAATGTACGTGAGGAGGAAAATCACTGTCTTCTGATGACTAAAGACCATAAAAATATCCTAGATCCCTTAAAAAACAATCAAGAGGATTGCATGTTTTAATCGGATATTACAAACAAGTGTCAAATAAATTGTTCTTGAGATGGTGATAACTCAGTCTAAATATGAACTGGCCTTTTGGAATCTGAGGAAGGCTTGTCAACAGACTTCTTCCATAGGCACTTCCCAGTGAAAGCCTTATTGTCTACTTGTGCATAAGGAAACTGGAAAAACACTTAGGGTTTTAACCCAACTTTATGAGAGTCATCAAAACGTATCACCTTGACCTGGTTACCAAGGCTTAGTCCCCTTGTTTAAGAGCCTAGGTGCCAATTTGAAACTTGGTGCTTCTGCAGAACTAATTACAGACTCCCCTCTTAATCTCATGGTTCCTTATGCAATACAGACATTACTGCTGCCTCTGAACACGTAACACTTTTCAGCCAGTGTTAAACACTCGTGAGAGTTTGTTACTCTCTCTCTCTCACATTACTGTTCACCACTGGAACACCCTATTTTTGCTACTCTCCTGCCCCTACCAGAAGAAGTGAACTCATGATTTTCTTACCTCAGTTAGGAAACTTTCTGCACTTCAGTATTTTTAAAGACTGCCATTGAAAACCCTGACTCAATATTATTTGTTGCTGGATCATATTTCAAACTTGAAACTAGAGATTATTCTACCACTAATTTATGTGCCTACAAAATATAGTCCTCTATATTTACTCAGAAGTAAAATTTGTCCAGATGGCAGAGATACTGTACTTACCTGAGTTTGTTAACTGGACAAAGACCTCAGAGTAAATATATATACAGGTACAATTTTTAAAAAAATACATGACTTTGGGATGCTTTGGAAACAAAGGGTTTCCTCTATGCTAGAACCTCCATCAAACATTGAGAAGATGTTTAAAACACTTTTAGATATACTCCTGCTCCATCCAGAGGTAGTTATTATAAAGATTGAAACTAATGATAATATAAATAATATAGAAACTAAAAGAAATGTTCTAACATATTATTTTGCCAAAGAAGCAGCCTTAATCAAGGTTTTGAACCTACCTACAATTTTAAAGAATAAATATCTGGAGTCATTCTAAGACACAATTATAAATTATCAACATTTAGCCCCTGATTCTGAAAAATAAAAATACAGTTCTAGCTTTACTCAGATAATCTTTGGCATTTTTGGTGGCACCAGAGGGCTTCAAATGAATACTAGTTAAATTTCTCCATGAAATGACTCATCACTTACAGATAAACTGGTTACAATCTTAAATCTTCAGAGTAGATAGCTGACTCGAGACCTTCAGAGGGAGGTAACAACCTCAGAGAGTAGACAGCTTCTGCCAGCAATATTGGATCAAGATCTCGGTGTAATTGCTACTTTGTTTTTTATCTACTTAATGACAATCATTCTTCTCATTTTCTAAAGACCACTGATAGTCAGCCACCCACAATGACCCTTTTTCTCTTTTATTTTATTCTTATTAAAATTTCAGATTAGAGCATAATCATTTTCTAACACTAATCTTGGATTATCCTAAATAGTAACTTTCAAGCTCACTGATTGCTAGATATGCTATCCCTCACTAGACTACCATCATCAAGAACCCTTGGAAAATTTCAGTCTCATCAAATGAGACCACAGGGAATTAAAGCTAATGGTATTTCCACTTGAACTAACATGGATAAATCAACCTGTGACTTTGCTAGTGTCCCTTTCTCACAAAAAGAACCTATTAATCTATTAATTAGACTCTGCAATTCTAAATTTGAATTCAACAACCTTTATAAAAAGATGAGTCAATTACTTGTCATCTGGAAGAGACTATGAGATTCACATATGTATCCCAACTAATGAACAGCCTTGATTCCAACCTCATGTCATGAACAATTTCTTTTTGCTGGATCCCTGTGTGTTCCTACCAGATACTACTTTCCTTGTGGCTAGATAGCTAGTCCTGCTTGCTTCATGCACACATACCTCATGCACTTTAAAAACAGCATTACAAATCTTACTGGTACACAGACCCCCCTAATTCTAAAAATGATCAAGCCTGGAAATTTTAACTCTAATACAAGCTCCTAAATGAGGCCACCCTTTATTATTGAGGTACTCTACTTGGAGGTGTTTTTGACTTGTTGTTTATACAAACAACCAAGGCAGTTTCCAGCAATAGGAATCATGCAAACAAAAGCCTATAAGACATGTATCACGAATGCTGGCAGAAACTGTAAGTGATACTACCTCTACCCTAGATGGAATACAGGTCCATCTCAACTGTTGGCAAGATAATTGAACAATCATACTGTTTTGGATTTTTTTTTACCGCTAGTCACAGCGGTATCTGTATCATTGCTGATACTTCTTGCTATACTTGGATCAGTGAAACAGGTAAGGTAGAAAACTCTATGTGTCAGCTTGACAAAAGGCTACTTGGTTCTCTCAGTTTGGTCCTTGTGGACTGTGAGATTTGTTATTTTACCTTGGGTTGTACAATTCAAGTTCTTGCTTCTGAAGAACCAAGTCAATAACCCAACTGGTTCTGAAGAATCAGGTCAATATTAAAATGTCTTAAGTTGTTTTTGTTTTTATTATAGTGTTCATGATGCTGGTACATCAAATTCCATATAAAGTCTTAAAAGTTTGTATATGGCTACTCTCATCAGATGACCACAATGATGATGTAACAACAACAAAAAATAATACCTTGTGATATGATTAAGACTACAGGTGAATGAGAATCAAGCAGTGAAGATTTGGATCTCTCACCTTACCTTTTGACCAAAAAAGAGAGTGACCAAAAGAGGGGAGATTGAATATACATACAGACAGTAGGCGGATCATAGGCAACATTAGAATATTGAGCAGTTGGCTCAAAACATTCAGGACTTGGTAGAGAAAGATCAGTTTCCCTTGTTTTAACGCTATTTCCAACTCAGAACCAACTGGAGAAAGCCAAATGCACTCCCAAAAACAATTGCATAGATGGTGTGTTTCTAGTAAGCCCTTCTTCAGCTGTCCCATGTCAACAACTTCCAATCAGAACATATTCAAAGCCGTCCCTTTAAAAATTATTATCAGGTCTTCCTACTCCCATGTATCCCTTTAAGGGTCTGGTAAATGCAAGTGACAGTGGCTGACTCCCATGCTATAACAAGCTCTGAATAAATAGATAAATGTTCCCAGCTTATTCTCATTTGTGTAGTCTTCATTTCCACAATGGCAACCTTCAAATATCTAAAGGTTTGTCATAGAGAAGAGATATTAGAGTTCCACCTTTGCCTGCAGTGAAGGAATGGGTATAAGAGGAGAGTGTGTTTCTCATCAATATAACAATCTTCTAACATTTATAGTTGCTCAAAAGCATACTGTACAGTGCTGTGTAGGAGATGTGATTACCCTGTTCCTGCAAATGTTATAAGCAGAGGCTGAATAATTGTTTATAGTGGGCAAATTGGGGTTTTGCAGAAGCATTGTACTAAATGGCTTAATCCAAATCTAAGCTTCCCAAACATTCTCATTATAATTCTATGATTTAGGGTACATCTGTTAAAAAGAAGACATTGATTATGTAAAAGAAGGGAATTTGTTTAAATTCCTTCTTATGGGGGCCATTTTCTTATGGATTAGAACTAAAAGTTGCTTTCTTGATTTTTATTCTGGAGCCACAAAGCACACCACACTGACTTATTACTGTCATTCATACTGATATAAAGAAATTATGTGGTTCATTCTGGGTTAGAGAGCCCAGACATGTTGGCCCCTCATTACCTTTGAGGATGTGTTCAAAGGCCAAATCCATCAACTATCTACTTGCTTCTGTACCATTTCTCTACTAATAAGATACAGAATGATGGTATGGAGCTCCATGACAATTATCTAAGCATTTTTAGATTGTTTGACATATATAGAGAAGGTAATAAGACATGAATTTTATGACGCATTTTGATGAATAGTAAAAACTCCCTGCCAGAACTCTCCTTTCATGTGCAAATTTGAGTATATTTAATGAAACTTTTTGAAGATTTTCTAGCAGCTCCTCACACCCCTTCTGGATAGCACCTATTTTTTCCAGTTTAGAATAACTGTCACAGTGTGAAAGAACAGAGAACCTTAGAGTCAGA